AACATATCTGAACACTCTCTTTTACTTTTTTTTGATAAATAAAATGTATTAGAAAGCGTTCAAGAGGGGGAACGCATCCCAAGATAAATATAATAAACTAAAAAAATAATAATAATAAAATAAACATAGAGCCCTATGGACCCAAAGAACCCAAAAAGTCCACAATCTAATTTAGAGATATACAATTTCTTCCCATTACCCAGCAAAAAAAAGAACTAATAATAGAAAATTTCAGCATCCCAATGGGGTTTCCTGCCCCTCAAAAGATCTTTTGTTACACTCTTTCCAAATGCTCCACCAAGCACAAAGGGGAATCACCCTCCAACAATCACGAGCATGAGCCCCCACCCTTTGGCCCCTCCAAATATCAATCAACACCCTTGAAGACCGAGGCACAACCCAATGAATACCAAACAAACACAAAATAAGGCTCCAACAATCATAAGCCATAGGACAATGCAAAAGAAGGTGATCCACAGATTCTCCATCATTCTTACACAGACAACACCAGTTGACTATGATAGTATGATCTGTCTTTTCTTTCTCAAATTGTCCAAAGTTAAAATTTTACCCAAAGCCGCAGTCTAAACAAAAAATGCCACCCTGAGAGGAGCCTTTGAACGCCAAACCGTCTTCCACGCGAAACTAGTTCCCTGAAAACCAGCGAGGCAAAGAAAAAAAGAGCGAACATCAAACCTACCCTGAGGAGAAGGCTTCCAAACCAAGATAACAAGCTCTCTGCCATCCACATCCTGTCTATACGAAAGATCCAACAGGCTAAGGACATCCTCAAGTTCCCAATCTTGGAAAGATCGCCGAAAACGCACATCCCACGTAAGCCTACCGCTATCAAGCTGATAACAGTCAGCTACCATAGCATGTCTATCCGCAGCAATGCTAAATAGTCTTGGAAACAACCGGGACAAGGGCACATCCCCACACCAATAATCCTCCCAGATCCTAAAGTCCCTGCCCTCCCGAACTTTGAATCGAATATGCTTAGATAGCTCATCCCAACCCTTACGAATAGCTTTCCACACTCCCACGCCGGCAACAGATATCTGAACACTTAATTGGGCTGGTCAAAGCCCTATTTATTAATTTTAGTATATTTAGTTCTATGGTCACTTAACCAAGCTTATATTTGCCTAATAGTGTGTGAATCAAGTTGATAAAGACTGTTGAAAGTTGAAACCGTGCAATCTTCATTTAGTCTTGGATTTTATGTCTTCAATCAATTCTTTTCTGGAAAATTAACATTTTGCCATCTTTATTTAGTGTTCGATGTTAAGTCTTCACTCACTTCTTTTCAAGCAAATCAACATTGATTGACTGCACAAGACTGATCCAAGCCAACAGAGTTTTAACTTGATTAATTAAAACAAATATTTTGATCTCAAAATTTGCCAACACAAACACCAATCTTATACTTCTAATGTATGTTTTATTATGAGTGCTTAGTTATAGGGTGCAAAAGACTATTCATCATATCCTGCACTAACAATTGTTGCTAACAGCCATTGCTTGTGTGGATTCATCCTCTCTACTACATAACTTATGAAAGCCCTTACACCTTCCCTTTGTTGTCTATGTGACAACATTGTTTCCGTCAATTTAATTGAAAACTTCCATGGCCACCACAAAACACAGTAAAGTAGATTATCAGTCAATAAGGAAATCACCAAGGGATTTCTTCAGGTTGTTCATGCACCCATTCAACCAACTTGCACAGGTCATGATAAAGGGATTGCACTTTTTCACCTTCTTTTCCTCGGTTGTTAATCAAGTTTTAACCACTAGCTTGATGGGGTTCCCAGTGGAATAACGGCAAAATGGATAGCACGTTATAGTATCACTCACATACTTTGTTGTGAAGGCATATCCATTTTTTGCATAATTAGTAAATATAATCATAACACTCCCATTGTTGTAATCTATACATGAATGCAGTTCTCTATGTAGGATTCCAACAATTGATTTGAAACAATCCATCCTTTTACTTACACGAAGCCATTATAGTGCATTAAACTTCTATCTTTATTCTTTCTAAAGCAAATGAGTAGCAAATGTAAGCATAAAGGAAATTAAGTCGCACAATGATTGCAATGCGACTTAAGATTATTAATACTATTCTATTATTTTATTTTAGGGTAAAAAAAAAATCCTGAACTATTAATGTTTTTCAAGAAACTCCCTACCCCCCCCCCCCCCCAACTATTATTTTGTTGCATGTTACCCCATCAGATCATCGGAAAATTCAAAAGACAGTTTCAGCCTTACTATAAAACAACACAGTATGAAATATTGTCTATCTAAAATTGGTGACGTGGCAAAGGAAATCTCACCAACCAATGGGTGAGTGACAGCACACCAAAAAAACCTTTACCCTTACAAATAAACGACGTCACCACACAGACAACACTGGTACGATTGCATCAATCGCCACCACCTCTTACCACCCCTTACCGGTGTCAACACATAGACAACACCACCACTTCCATTGCGTCAATCGCCACCTCCCCCACTTCCACCACAGCACCATCACCGCTCTCACTTCCACAACAGCACCATCACCGCCCTCAACATGAACCAGGAAAATCAAATAATTTATACTGAATCAAACACCGTTGAACCCAATCGGACCCACAATTCACCGTCGAACCCAATCGAAACCACAATCTGGCAGAGTGATTTTGTGGATGTCATCAATTGCCACAAAGATACAAAAAGAAGAAAATCCTAAAAAGAAACCATGTACCAACAACACAACCCAGAGATCCTTCGCCAATTCTCACCACAGACCACACCCCAGACACCACGTTCATCGTGGGTACGAACGCGCCTATCAAGGACGGCGAAGAATTAAAGGGCGTTGGGACTCTTTGGCGACTGAAGCTCTTCAATGGGTCCTATCACCGCGAGCAACAATGCAGATTCCCTGTTTCTGGTATTCCGAAGAAGATCGAGCTGAGTGATTTTGGTGAGAAAGCCGATCTCTCCTACTTCACCGATTTGTGAATCCTTGTTTTTTCACTTTAATAGAAAAAGATTATGTTGGTGATCAGTGCCCAGTGGGTTACTCTATAGGAATACAGGTTTAGTCGATTTAGGGATTAAAGCAACAGATTTGGAGAATACATACATATATAAACAAACATATATATCGCTCTCTTTGGAGAATAAATACATATATACACATATAAGGATTTGGAGGATAGGGACTGGTTGTTTGGATTGATGATAAAGAGCAAGTTGTTCTGCCCTAGAGAGAGGGGAGGGAAAGTTTTTTTCTTATCGGACTATAATCAGACAATGAAGCAGCAGAGAGATATGACAATTAGGCGAATTGGGTACTTGTTGTTCATTGGTTTGTATGAAGCTGGGTGATCAGTTGGTTATATATTTATTTCTTTTTTTTTCACACGGATTATATATTTTTCAGAAAGAAGCCTGGTGAGGAAGATGAACAGTGTGTGTATGTATGTACGTATATATATATATATATATACACACACACATACAGAATCGTAATGGTGTGTTGGGTGCAAGTCTTTTAGGGATGTGTAATGAGGGGCAATAGAGTCCTTTGATACTTATATGAGTATTATGGTCATTATATTATTTATTGTGTGTTTTAAAGGTGAGATCCAACCGGCACATCGCCGGATGGGGCTATCTGAAACAAAAGTGTATAGTTTAAGGGGTTTTTTGCAATTTTTGTAGTTTAGGGGGGTTTGTTGATGATTGGCCAATAGTTCATGGGGGGGTTTTGCATTTTACCCTTTATTTTATTCTGAATATTTTATTTTAGTATATGTATATTCAATGTAACTTGCAAGGCCTTAACCATACCAGGCAGTTCACATGCTAGGCACATGATAGCTTATAGGATTTAGGTTTAACTGACATCATACAGAAAATTACACAAAATAATGACTTAAGAAAGACAAACAAAGGCTAGGGTTTTAAGATCATCAGGAATATCCTTTATATACTCTGTCTTGCCTCTTCAAGGTGTAACCCCACAGTGTAACTCTCTCATTTTCTTTGCCACTAACTCTTGTTATTCTAGTTCTTCACTTAAGTGTCTTTTGAAATAATTTTTTCCATGTTCCTAAGCTCACCAAGTCTGCATTGCAATTACAGTGAGATGCTTCTTAACCCTTTTAACAAGTTCCTCTCCTTCTTTGCCAACTAGTCCTTACCTTCCTTTGCTGTCATGATGTTCCCTATTTCTTTATTTGCTCACTTTCATGGCATGGAATGGGATATTTGACGTTTCTCAGAAATCATGGATTGGCCACGTTTAATAAAAGTTTACCCCCTAAATAAGTTTTTCACGTTGTAATAGGGGTGGAATTGGTAATTGCCATTTTTTTATTTGTTTGGTCATTATGCTATTGTTAGGTCAATAGGACTTACATTGGCAATTTTTTAGAACAAAACTAGACTCTGTAACTTTTGTTTTAATTTCTAGCTTAGTTTAGAATTTTTCATAAGTTAGTTAGTTTTAGTTGTAACCTCTTGCTCATGGTTAAAGAAGGAATTAAAAGCTACACACAAGGGTAATTGCATAATCTTCTACACCAAGGTAAAAAGGTAATTGAACACTTTGATGCGATTACCAAAATTAGAGTTCATGCATATATGAATTAGGGTCTCAATAATTTCATGTATTGATATGATTTGATTCTCTAATCTTTTGAAATACACATAAAAGTATGTTTTGGAAACTTCCTAACTGAAACTTTCTAGGAATTAAAATTGCAAATGACTTCGATGGATCGAGCTTTGGATCGAGGGCCACTAGCGACTCAATTCCTTGATTGATCGATTGACCAATGCAAAAATCCAATTTCCTTTTTATCTAGAACACTACAAATCCTACTTTCTGTGTAGTTATACTTTGCCTACATAAACACTACCCTAGGGCAAATTGAATAACAATTGGTATACATGAAATAAATTGAAAGGAAAAGACATGAAGATGGTAGAGCTACCTCTCAGGAAGTAATCATTCCACGACATAGTTACACTAGGTTGAAATCTTTGAGACCAAAACCATGTAATTGATTTCGATAAAACGGCTTGCATTCCAAAGTGGAAGGTATTCATCAATAAAGGAGCTGGGAACTTTCCCAAATCATTTCCTAACAGAGTTTTATTGTACCTATCCGCACCAAAACATAATAAGAACAACAATTTTGTATGATGAGCAAAAGTAAATAGACTAAAAACAATGCAGCCAATGACAGATAAAGAGTAGATGAGAACCTTACAGTGTCAAAAACGTGCTGAAAGTGTACCAAACAAGTATAAAAAACAATGTCTTCAGAACATCAGCAACAGGGATGGAGCTCTTGCAATTTGGTGATGATGCGTCATGGTTATCTATAGAACTGGAGCCATTATCTCCAATCCTCGAGAAATTTAGGTCACTTCCATGTCCATTTTCAATATTAAAAGGCTCATAATTCTCGGTACTTTTTCTCGCACGAGGGGTAGGAACACCATCCATATTGTTATCACTGTTCATCTGTATACTTCTCGGCTCAAACTTACTATATTTGTGTATGTCCTGTTCTACAACCCCCTTTTCCGGATCACTATCCTGAAGCAAAGGTAATTTGAAAGCAAAGTCTTCTGCATTTGCATCATCGTTTTGTAATTGATAATCAAGATGTATTATTCCATCTTCATCGAACAGCGTCAGAATGATGGTTTCCTCCGGACACCTAACCTTTGGTTTCTGCTCTGAATGTCAACTCCTGTTTACCGAACCTTTTCTGTATCTAAATCACTCTTTATTATCTCCTCTCCTATTTAAGGTCAAAACCATCTAAACACCAACCAACCCAATCTACCCCGTGGCAATGACGTCCCGTTACTCTAAACCCTGATTTCTTCTTATATTGCCCAGGTCCTTGAAAAAACAAGGACATCAGAAGTTAGAAGCCACCATACATAGAATTATTAAATCAACTTTATATATATATATATCTTCTAATGAATTGAAAACTGGACTAATTAAAAAATGCCAAATCTTGCAGCCTAATGTAATACAGGAAAAGCAAATCTAACTAATACCCCACTAGCGAAGCCAAATTCAATTCAAGAAAACGACTCCAATTAATCGGAGTGCATACATAGAATTATTAAATCAACTTTAAGTATATATATATATATATATATATATATATATATACATATCTTCTAATGAATTGAAAACTGGACTAATTCAAAAATGCCAAAATCTTGCAGCCTAATGTAATACAGCAAAAACAAATCCAATTAATTTCCCACTAGCGAAGTCCAATTCAATTCAAGAAAACGACTCCAATTAATCAGAGTGCAAAAATAGAATTATTAAATCAACTTTATATATATATATATATATATATATCTTATAATGAATTGAAAACAGGACTAATTCAAAAATGCCAGATCCTGCAGCCTAATGTAATACAGGAAAAACAAATCCAACAAATTTCCCTCTAGCGAAGCCAAATTTAATACAATAAAACGAATCCAATTAATAGGATTGCACCAACAGTACCTGCTCTAATCAAAATTTCCACAAAATCCAGCTACAGTTTTCCAAATTCAACAAAAACCACAATGTACAATGGACTGTGAATTCGGGATTTTAAAAAATAAAATAAATAAAAAAATAAAAAAACTGTATATTTTGCTCTGTACGCAATACTCAAATGAATCAAAACATATCACAACACGTTTTCAATCAAAACTGAAATAACAGTAACCAAAACTCCTCCCAAGATCAAAGTAAATCGGAATCAACAGTGTACAGTATTAGAATATGATATATCCAATGGAATCACATAATTACATGAGGCTTATTCGTATATATAATGCGAAGAACTTTAGTGAGACAACCAGAAATTCAAACTAACCTGAGCTTGACGAGATTGATTTCCGAGAGAGATTTCAGATGCGTTTGATCGATGAGAGAGAGAGAGAGAGAGAGAGAAGAAGATCTGAGCTAATAAGTATTGTTTGGTGACAGATTCGAATGAGTGTTTGGTTTTGGTCCGAGTGTTATTGTCGTTGGCGTGTGTTGGCTTGTCGCAATAGAGCGTGTGTTGAAATTGTTTTGGAAGGTAAATTGTTTTGGGGTAAAGCGTTTGCTGATTTGATCGAAACACAAGAAAAGAAAATAAATAAATTTATGGGAGGGAAGTATCAAGTGCGTGCGCAATTGTTTATTAATTATGTGCTCCCCAAATATAATATTAAACTATTTATATTATTATCTGTTTAAAAGATTGTTGTGTTATTATTTGTTTTACATAATTGTTATATCTTATGCTTCGTTTGGTTAAAAAAGAAGAAAATGGAATGGAAGGGAGAGAGAAAAAAATGAATAAGATATCCTATAAAAAATATTATGTCTTAAGATGAAAAATATTTTGTTGAGTTGGATGGAAGATACTAAATAATTTACTTTTATTGATAAGATGAAAAGGATAGAAAAAATTACAAATTTAAATAAATTACTTAATTTATTTATAAAATTTAAGGCTAAAATCATAAAATCAATTGAACATCACGTGCACCATATATTACGTTACAATGATTGAAATACCCTTATTCTATTTGGTCCTTCCTTACAATCTCCTCTCTCTATCAATCTCTCTCCCACGCACAAACACACCCAAACACAAAGACCTTATTACAGCAGGGAGCTCTAATCTTGCGTCTTCTTCTGTATTGCTTGCATCTGTCAACAACCCATTAATCAGAATATCAGAACTCATGTTTTACATCAAAAACAGAACACAATCCACCACCAATCAAGAGTTGAAAAATTATACATTATGCCTATATTGCTTCGTTTTGATCTTCTCTCTACTTTAACCCCCAAAAACATATCCAAAACCCGAAAATTTGAACCTTATTTTCATTCTCCTTTCCCAACTTTCTACTCCGGCTCAACTATATCGGATTTTCCTATTTACCACCGTCGTCCACTCGCCGTCAGCCCTCTCTGCGCTGGCCGCCAGCCGAGATGAACGTTGGCGGCGATGAAGTCAGTAAAGTTGACGACTTCGCCCCACCACCATCAACATGACGACGACAACTATATTAGCTGATTGCGAAGCCAACGGTGGAGGCAGTGCCGTACCAGCACCGCCGTCGTGGCGGTGGTGGCATTGCTCACTGCCACTGTCGCGTGGCTGTCGCTCGTCTTCTCCGGGACCACCACACCTCGCTGGCACTGCTTCACGCGTTGGGAAGGAAGCCTTAATGGAGCCGATGAAGGTGGGCAGGAAGAAGGCCCAATTCAGTGTTCGTTGTGTTTGTTCCACGGCGTAGGAATTTTTAATTCCCTTTTTAATGAAAAAAATAATTAACAGGTGTAAAATTACAATTTAGTAGGGGTGGTAGTATAATTTTGTAAATATATATATAAAAAATGTAGTATATTATTAAAAAAAAAAATCTATAGTTTAGTAATAAATATTTCCTCTTGTAGGCCACGTGGAAGGCTTCCAAATATGATGAAGAAGGCTGCCCAATGCTACACCGTTTCATACGGGAGCATAATTGTCATTTTAAATCATAATTTCATTTTAATATAATATCAAGGGTATTTTTGTCATTTTGCAGTCACTTAACGGGTCTTATTTTCTCCTGTATTTGGATTGATAAAAATTTGTGAAGAAGAAATAATGACTCATCCGTCTTATTATATTTTCTTTCCTTATATGATCTCCTACCCAAAGAAGAAAATTTATTCATTCCTTCATATTTTTTTTTCATTCCTTGATATTTTTCTTCCACCCTTTATCCTTTCTTCCTACCGAACAAAGCGTTTGATACAAAATTGGTTGAAATTTGTTTGATTAAATTGAAAATTAAGTATTGAAAATTTTAATAACTGAATTTTAAGTGCTGAAGATTTTAATGATAATTAAAAAATAAATATTTTTTGTATTTTTTTTTTTAATTATTAGCATTCAATATTCAGTGATAAGTGATGTCTTTGTCACTTAAAAGTTTACCCCATTTTAAATGACTCTTATCATTTTCAGTAATATTAAAATTACGTTATCAAACCCACTTAATTTGACAAGCCCTAAACTTGTTCAGAATTAAGCTTTTTCAAACAACAACTATGGTACAATATAATTAACCGTAAATTCCTTTTTTATCTAAGAAATCATCTTTTTATCATAATTCAATTGTTAATACGCGGACAACTAGCATTAAATTCTTAATTTATACCTTCTTTTCTTCAGTTTTTTTTATTTTTAATTTCTTTTTAAGAAAAATTTCACCCTAGTCCTACTTTTCAATCTTAAAGACAAAAAAGTACTAAAAAAAATTTGGGTAAAGTATAGAGACACCCCATGAGGTTTGGGGTACGGACACCCAGGAGAAAGTTTGTCTATTTTTTGACAACGACACCCACTTATAGAATTTATTATCCAAACATAGCCTTAAATCATGTGAAAAGTCCACTTTACCCTTCATTGTTTTATTAATTTTAATTATAAAATATCATAAACTTAAATGACCAAATTACTCTTTTCATCTCTCTCTCTATATATAGATATATATATACACACGCACAAACAACCAGTGACCATCACCCCCAACAGAAGATGTCGAAGAGGAGCTCTAACCCCACTTAGGCTATTCCTGGACTCCATCATTCAGGTGCAGGCCTCTGCTTTGGAGCACTTTGGGACCTCAATTTGGCCTTGAATGATTGTGTACTGGCCATGTAATTTGGATAATTTGTGTACTGTAGGAAATAAGTATCAACACAGACGCTCTTCGCCGACGTCACCGAGGCATTAGACCCGCCAGAATTTACAAACCGAAGGGTGCTTTCAGCCGTGGAAAACCGGCATTCATCGCCGGTTAGTCCCCAATCGATGTCTTGGGAATTTCGGTGACCGAGGATTGATAAACGGGTCAAAATTCGACATGGGAAGGGTGAGGAGAGTGTTTGGCCAAATGGGTCGTCGCCGGAATCTGACACCCAGGTTTTGGTTCTTCAGGATCTTGATTTGGGCTTGCAAGTGTCCACTTCCACAATCTTTGGACTGCCCTCAATAGTGTTTATGTCCAAAGATGCTGAACTGTATAATATACACACAGACAGGTTTGGGTTCCGTTTACAATATGCTTTTTCACTACAACGTTTCGCCGTTACTACTGCGCTGGCAACGTTTCCGACCACCACGAGCCATCCGGATATTCTGATGACCCGAATAATTGATCCGAATGAACGAACAACCCGTCTAACGCAACGTACTCGCCATTATTAATACAACTATCACCACCAACTATTCCCAACCCGAACGAGTCGTAACTCGGGATCTCGTCATCAAACCCCCATAACTCGCCGAGTTCGGTCGACTCTGACGGAACTCGGACCAACTCAGTCTCTTCGTTGTTCTCCGCCTCGCTTAACGACGCAGTCAACGGAGGGAGGCCGAGCTCGTCGTCAGAGGCTTCCAAGAGGTAGCCAAGCTCCGGTTGGGAATCTCCAGCGTCTGACTTCAGATCTACAATGTTCGCCAGCGACATGGAGATCTCTTCTTCGAAGCTCTTTATGAATGAGTCGAGGTCAGGACAACTGGTTCCGAGATCTAAGTCGTTGAGATTTAGGAGGTCATCCTTGAGTCTCTTCACCTCGGCTGAGTCCAGCTTTGACTCGTCCCATTCATCTCTGACTCGCTTCTCTCTACACCCACCATTGTAGCCACAACCACCATCCATCTCATCTCCCTTCTTCCTCTCTCCGTTCTCTCTCCTCCGGTGAAGTGTATAATATACACACAGGCGGCTTTGGGTTCGGGTTTGAGATGGGTTTGGATTTAATCCAAGGGTATTTAAGTCAATTAAAATGTTAATTTTATTTCGAAGGATAATAAGATCAATTCACCATCTTCAGGGTCTCTTTGTCCATTTTTCAAACTTGAAGGGGTGTCATTGTCAAAAAATAAACAAACTTTCCTCTGAGTGTTCTTACCCCAAACTTCAGGAGGTGTCTCTGTACTTTACCTAAAAAAATTTATAAGACAAAGAAGTTCTACTTTACATAAATATTTCCAATCAAGTTCTAAAGGCTTTACCCTTTCCATATTCCCTCTCTCTCTTAACCCCCTTTCTCCCTTGAGCAAGAGACTGTCGTCTTCTTTAGAACCCAAAAAAAAAAAAAAAAACACAAATAAAGAAGCAACCAAACAATAGCAGAGCAGGAAATTAAATATCAACAACTAATTAATTTGATTATAAGATCTAGTTAGTGAGAATAATTAACCATTAATGCAGTCAATATATAATAGTTTAAAACCTAAACTATTCTCGACTGTTTTTTTTCAGCAAGACATAACACCTTTCAATAAGACGAGTTTGAGAACAGGGCATCCCAAATCTCAGTTAACACTTCAACGATGACCCTGTGGTGATGACAAAAGTTTAGAGAGAGAAAGCACTGTAACAGATTCTCAAGATCCTTGGCTCCGAAAATCTCCCTTTCCACTATCATTTCCACCTTTGAAGTCCCGAAATCATTGTAGGGATCACTAGAACAGTTCACCACCGCAAAGCTGTCTTTAACTTTTCCTTGTAGTACCGGCATTAGATCCATTTCAGTGTCCTTCCTCTGTTTACTTCTTCGCCGACTTGTCCCATGTCAGCCGAAACGAGGAGAGTGTTTCGGCCAGATTTTTTTTTTATTGTTTTGGCGTTTCTTTCTAATTGTTCAAGCTGCTTTAATTTGTGTTTTCTATCATCTGTCTATTACTTCTATGGAGTTGGGTGCTTCACCGTGTCACTGGAGTTGTAAATTGTAATGGAGCTCACCATTGGGTTTTGCAAAGGGGGTCGAGAATGGGGGGAATATAGAAAGGGTGAAATAAGGATTCTATTTAGTTCAGGACTTGATTGAAAATATTTAGATAAAGTACGATTTCTTTGCCCTATTAATATTTTTTTAAAATTTTTTTGTTTTTAAGGTTGAAAAGTAGGATTGGAGTGGAATTTTTCCTGTTTTTTAATCCTTATTGTCACGTTTTTTCTCTTCTTTAGAGTCTTTTCCTTGAACTATAAATTATAATCCTCCTCTCTCCATCTCCTATTTTTTATTCTCTTACACCTTTTATATATTTGCGTTTCT